GTGTGTGTGTGTGTGTGTGTGTGTGTGTGTGTGTGTGTATAAAGGTGAAGGACTGGGTGAAGGAGCGTCTGGATAAATTCACTCCGCTCTCGAAACAACCAGCGGATGTGAGGGAAGACGTGGAGAAAATGCAGCGGGAGGTAAATTAACCATTTTTAATAATTATTTCATTGATGACTCATCAAATTTTTCTTGTAATTTGACCACAAAGTTCACGAACACAAACTTCTCCAGGACATTTGTCAGTTATGAGTTTATTATAATAATAACATTAAACTTCAGAAATATGAAACCAGTCAGGCTGTAGTTACCACATGGATCCACCAGAGGGCAACACGCACCAGTCAGGACGCACACTGTCGGTGACGCTGACGTTCGTCTCAGTCTGACGACTCGTCGTTTTCTTCCAGCTGAAATGTTGCGGTCTTGTGAACGGACAGTCCGACTGGGATACGGTTCCAGACTCGTGTCGCTGCAACAGCACCGACCCAGAATGCAAGTCGGCCGGCATCTACAGCGAGGTGAGTTGATGATGATGATACTGATGATGATGAGGATGATGATGATGATGATGATGATGATGATACTGATGATGATACTGATGATGATGATACTGATGATGAGGATGATGATGATGATACTGATGATGATGAGGATGATGATGATGATGATACTGATGATGATACTGATGATGATGATACTGATGATGAGGATGATGATGATGATACTGATGATGATGAGGATGATGATGATGATGATACTGATGATGATGATGATGATACTGATGATGATGATGATGATGATGATACTGATTATGATGATGATGATGATGATGTCGTCTCACCTGCAGCCTTGTGCCGATAAAATCATCAGTCTGATGGAGAAACACATGGAGGTCGTCCTGGGAATCGCTTTCGCCATCGCCGTCTTGCTGGTCAGTGCACACTCTCACACACTCTCACACACACACACTCTCACACACACACACTCACACAGCCTCACACACACACACACACACACACACTCACACTCACACACACTCTCACACACACACACACACACACTGTGTAGCAGGTCAGTTCAGTAATTAATGAATAAAACGTACGTATAACAATCATCAGGTCCATGAACAGTGTGACCTGCATCCATCTACACACTTTTATACAACGATCACAAACAAAGGCCACACTACACCTGACAGATCACACACCACCTACTGGTCAAACAAGGGAACACATCTTTGAAGAACGTGTTTCTCAAACTTTAAAGTTCGTCCTCACTGCGTCTCTCATGTGGTCACATGATCATGATGATGATCGTCACACAGAATAAACATTTGCTTCACTTTCCGAACCCGAAGTCTTCGTCCGTTTTTGAAACATTTCCACAGGTTAGTGTTTTCTACAGCAACAGGAAGTGTGATGACAGGATGTAGAATGTCTCACGGGTTCTGGTCTCCGCAGATTTTCGGCATGGCCTTCTCCATGATTCTCTACTGTCAGATCGGCCGGAAGGAGAGCGGCGCCACCACGACCAACGCCTGAGCCCCGCCCTCGCTGCCTCACAACAGCCAATCAGCTGTGCCCTAATGACCCATGCAACATCTACCTAACCTCAGTGCTTCTGTAATTTCACCTGCAGTTTTATTGTGAAGGAACACTTTGACATTTTAGCTAAATCTTCCTCATCCACGTGGACGGTTGAGAAATATTGATTATGAAATAAATAAATGATTAAAATGTTTCCCGGAGACGAAACAAGTAGCTAAGTAAGAATTGATCCTGAATCAGACAGAACACTAATCATGTCAAAATGAAAACTGAAACAATCACACGAGGCCTCGAAGAACAAAATCCAGGAAAATGTTAAAATCCTCATGTTGTATGGAAGTATGGAAGCCCATTACTGCCAAAAGCAATTGAAAACAACATTTAATACAATATAAAATACAGTTTCTCAAGTGTATGTGTTTTCCACATTATTACATTTTTTTATACATATCCTCAAATTGGTATGTATGTTGTGATCGGCTAAAATGTTGTAATAATTTTGGACATTATTGAAATCACTTCAATTTGTGGTTATATATAGTTTAGTGGGAATGAGAATCATAGTAAAATGCACTGTTTCTGTTCAATCTGTCCGCAAAAAAAAAAAGATATCACCAGAAAATAAGGCAAAAGTTACTGATTGTATCATAAAGACTTTTATTTATGCAGTGTGTCCCTATGGTGTATTAAAATAGTTGCATTTGTTTGTATTATGATTAAAGAAAGTCAAATCTTTTCTGATACCTGAGTCATTTTTGCGACGTCATATTTTTGGATTTGTAGATTTTGCGTGCAGTAATGGGCTTCCGTGAATACACGGCTCTAGCTAACGGAGGATTTTTTTCTCTGGAGGTTTTAAGTCGTGTTCTCCTGCTGTAAAATAATAACTTCAAAAACAATATTAATCATTATAAAACAAAAGAACCTTGAATTCACATCTCGTTCTAGAATATTACATATCCTCAGTGTTTTTGTTATAGAAGTTAAGAAGTGGTTAAATGTTGTGAAGCTAAACTTTTGTTTGCACTGTAAATCGTGACGTCATAAAGAATAAAAACAAAACAAATGAAACACACGAATTAATCCTCTGATGTTTTGTACGGACCGCCTCCGCTCCTGCGAGGACCTCAGACAGACCCCAGACCACACGTTGACTGTCGTTGACCTGCACGCAGTGATGAAACATAAGAGGATGTTGTTTGTGATCTTGTCATAACGTGATCCTGCTGTGGATAATGATGTCATCACGTGTTCCTGCTGTGGATAATGATGTCAT